GCAACACGTCAGTGTGTCCATCATATTGGAGGTGGCAGATCTGCCTTAATAACTAATACAAGTAAAGCAAAACAGTGAAAAAGCTTCCAGACCTGCATAGTTCCCCTTCTGATGAATTGTTTTGATATCCAGTGGCTCTACAATATGTACAAAGAATCAAGAATATATACATATTTATTGCTGTATGCACTGTTACCGACTAGTTGGTTCGGGGGGATTTAAGTGTACGCTTAACAGATGCTAGTCCTAACCTGGAGTGTGTGAGAGAAAAGACAGTGAAAAAGATGCAGTACAGTACAAAGAATCACACTGAAAAACGTATACTTAGTTATCTATATGTATAAGGACTACAGTGTGTGTGTGAGCTTAAAACCCTTTGAAAAGAATTGTTTTGTAGACCTTTTAATTCCCAATCTCTCCAGTTTGCCATATCCAAAATGGCGGCAACATTACTGTATAATTCAGGACTCAATGCAGCGTCTGTTTATATATGTCTATGTGGGTGCATAGTGATGATAGAATTTAATATTTTACTCTAATAAAAACTGAACTTTATCCCAAACACAAATAACTACATTAGATTTTGAGAGTATTTTACAAACTGCTGTGACACTGTTGTGGTTGAAAACTCAGCTGGACCTGAAGCAGCCATTATGTGACTCATCAGAGGTCAGGGTTGCTCGCTCATTCTTATTTCAGGTCTCAGGTGATAGAGGTTTTTGTTCTGAGCTCCTTCAAGGAGGTAGGCAGCAGGATGTGTGATAATGGCACTGCCTTCTTCACACCTGTTCACAGCAGCCAACAGGTCTATAGAAAACCTCCCATTCCTGCTGGCTTGTTTCCACCTAGAATGAAATGACCACAAAGAACAACACATCAATGCAAAGGTCGCTGTAAAAGAGCCACTCAACAAGGAATTCGCTATGAAATGAATATAATGGTTGGGTTTTGGAGGATGAGAATAGTACCTGGAGGAAAACCACATTAAGAAAAATGGCGGAGAACAAAGATGGAAAGGCTTCTTATAAAAATAATGAGAAAACAGAGTCAAAGAAGAGGAGTTGGGCAAAAATCTTAAAACTGGAGAGAGAAAATTGCCTGGGGAGATAAAGGTGGATCACAGATGAATATAAAAGAGGTTGAGTGAGTAGACAGTCACTGAAGTCTGGACTGGCACTCTTTCCAAAAGTGATGAGTGGAAGAAAGTGATTTATACACAGAGAAGAAATGGTGCAGAGGAGTGGCAGATACAGTGGCAAATACAGTGATGGCAGCAACCCACTTCCACTCAGTTCAATAAATCAGTCCTGTGGAAAACTTAGGAGGGAGATGCAGCATGACAGCTCATTCACACCAGTGTCTTCTCTGCCCATCAGCTTGTACTGATTTCTTATCATCCATCAATGCAGCAATTATTATGAGAACACATAGAAGGAGAAGTTAAGTATAACTTGCATGTTGTGGACTCGTGATGAGTTCTGATATATACATCAGCCTGAGCTGTTAAAGAAATAGATATAAGATAGACATTCCAATGACCTTGGAGGAACACATGACGGATTCTGACTAACTGCTTGATTCTGTTCTAAAACCCTGGCGGAGAAGCCTTGTTTCTGGACGGTTTCGAACTGGGGACATTTCGCGTGTGAGGCGAACGGCGGAGATATTGTCCTCTATACTAACGAGGACTGACGCCACTCACGTTACATGCAGGTCAGACTGGATTTATTGCACAATCACTGTGGAAACTAATGGCTGGATTAAGTGGTCTGAGCGCTTGAGCTAGTCCGTCCTTCCACCCACATCATCCACGTCCATGGACTGCTGCTGGAGGTTTGAAATTTACCGCTTTGTGGCCTGTACTTTGAAAGGCAAGTACAACTCACTATACAAGTACAAGTCATTGGGTGCTTTGGCTCTGTACTCAACTAACCTGGATTTTGTCAAGGGCCGCTGACTAAAGGATTTAATGGTTAAACTCCCTCAAATCATAGAGCTTTGGCATCTGCAAATCCACGCTAGCTGTGGCCGACATCAACACATTTGGAGTTGTCTTCCTCCAGCCTTCCAATAGTGCTAATTGTAAGCCAGCAGATGACACCAAGATCACTGTGTGCAGTGTGGGCCTGTCTTCACCTTGTTTAGAAACTTGTTTCTGCCCAGTTTCAAACTGGGAACCTTTCGCATGTGAGGCGAACGTGATGACCACTACACTACGAAAAACTGTGCTGCCATGGCCCTCCTGCGTTTGACGCGGGGAAATCCACCAGCATAGGATGAGCCTGACAAAGCCCAGGCTTGCTCTGTCAGCAGAAAACAATGATTTTCTGCGGAATGGTTAACCTGACCAAGGCATTTAAATGTCAACACACTCACTGACATGGAGCAATTCTGAGTCATCTCTACAGAGGCTATCAAGTGGAGGACTGCCACTAACTACTTGATTGTCTTTTAAAACTGTGGAAGAGGAGAAGCTTGTTTCCACCCAGTTTCGAACCGGGGACCTTTCGCGTGTTAGGCGAACGTGATGACCACTACACTACGGAAACTGTACTGCCATGGCCCTCCTGCGTTTGACGCAGGGAAATCCACCAGCATAGGCTGAGCCTGACAAAGCACAGGCTTGCTCTGTCAGCAGAAAACAACGATTTTCTGCGGAATCATCAACCTGACCAAGACATTTATTTGGCAAATGTGTTGACATTACGAGCCTTGACATTTGCACAACCACGCTGACTGACATGGACCAATTTTGAGTGATCTCCATGAAGCCTGTCATGTGGAGGATTCTCACTGACTGCTTGATTGTCTTCTAAAACCGTGGAGGAGCCTTGTTTCTGCCCGGTTTCGAACCGGGGACCTTTCGCGTGTGAGGCGAACGTGATAACCACTACACTACGGAAACTGCCCTCTGAGCCACAACATGCACCGGATGCGGGGAAATCCACCAGCACACGCCAAGGCTGATAAATCATCACTGAGCTGTACTAGCAGAAAACAAAGATACTCTCCCCGTCGGGGAATCGAACCCCGGTCTTCCGCGTGACAGGCGGAGATACTGTCCACTATACTAACGAGGACTGACGCCACCCACGTTATGTGCAGGTCAGACTGGAATTATTATGCAATCACTGTGGAAACTAATGGCTGGATTAAGCGGTCTCACCAGTTGGGCTGGTCAGTCCTCCCACATCATCCACGTCCATGGACTGCTGCTGGAGGTTTGAAATTTACTACTTTGTGGCCTGTACTATGAAGGGCAAGTACAGGTCACTGTACAAGTACAAGTCATTGGGCGCTTTGGCTCTGTACTCAACTAACCTGGATTTGGTCATGGACTGCTGACTAAAGGATTTAATGGTTAAACTCCCTCAGATCTTAGAGCTTTGGCATCTGCAAATACACACTGGCTGTGGCAGACCTCAACACATTTGGAGTCGTCTTCCTCCAGCCTTCCAATAGTGCTAATTGTAAACCAGCACGCCAAGATGACATCAAGCTTGCTGTGTGCAGCACGGGCCTAGCTTCAAGGACCTGGCTTCACCTCGTTTAGAAAAACCACAGAAGGAGAAGCTTGTTTCCACCCGGTTTCGAACCAGGGAACTTTTCGTGTGTCAGGCGAACGTGATGACCACTATACTTGGGAAACTGTGCTGCCATGGCTCTCCTGCGTTTGATGCAGGGAAATCCACCAACATAGGATGAGCCTGACAAAGCCCAGGCTTGCTCTGTCAGCAGAAAACAATGATTTTCTGCGGAATGGTTAACCTGACCAAGGCATTTAAATGTCAACACACTCAGTGACATGGAGCAATTTTGAGTCATCTCTACGGAGGCTATCAAGTGGAGGACTGCCACGAACTACTTGATTGTCTTTTAAAACTGTGGAAGAGGAGAAGCTTGTTTCCGCCCGGTTTCGAACCGGGGACCTTTCGCGTGTTAGGCGAACGTGATGACCACTACACTACGGAAACCTTACTGCCATGGCCCTCCTGCGTTTGACGCGGGGAAATCCACCAGCATAGGCTGAGCCTGACAAAGCACAGGCTTGCTCTGTCAGCAGAAAACAACGATTTTCTGCGGAATCATCAACCTGACCAAGACATTTATTTGGCAAATGTGTTGACATTACGAGCCTTGACATTTGCACAACCACGCTGACTGACATGGACCAATTTTGAGTGATCTCCATGAAGCCTGTCATGTGGAGGATTCTCACTGACTGCTTGATTGTCTTCTAAAACCGTGGAGGAGCCTTGTTTCTGCCCGGTTTCGAACCGGGGACCTTTCGCGTGTGAGGCGAACGTGATAACCACTACACTACGGAAACTGCCCTCTGAGCCACAACATGCACCGGATGCGGGGAAATCCACCAGCACACGCCAAGGCTGATAAATCATCACTGAGCTGTACTAGCAGAAAACAAAGATACTCTCCCCGTCGGGGAATCGAACCCCGGTCTTCCGCGTGACAGGCGGAGATACTGTCCACTATACTAACGAGGACTGACGCCACCCACGTTATGTGCAGGTCAGACTGGAATTATTATGCAATCACTGTGGAAACTAATGGCTGGATTAAGCGGTCTCACCAGTTGGGCTGGTCAGTCCTCCCACATCATCCACGTCCATGGACTGCTGCTGGAGGTTTGAAATTTACTACTTTGTGGCCTGTACTATGAAGGGCAAGTACAGGTCACTGTACAAGTACAAGTCATTGGGCGCTTTGGCTCTGTACTCAACTAACCTGGATTTGGTCATGGACTGCTGACTAAAGGATTTAATGGTTAAACTCCCTCAGATCTTAGAGCTTTGGCATCTGCAAATACACACTGGCTGTGGCAGACCTCAACACATTTGGAGTCGTCTTCCTCCAGCCTTCCAATAGTGCTAATTGTAAACCAGCACGCCAAGATGACATCAAGCTTGCTGTGTGCAGCACGGGCCTAGCTTCAAGGACCTGGCTTCACCTCGTTTAGAAAAACCACAGAAGGAGAAGCTTGTTTCCACCCGGTTTCGAACCAGGGAACTTTTCGTGTGTCAGGCGAACGTGATGACCACTATACTTGGGAAACTGTGCTGCCATGGCTCTCCTGCGTTTGATGCAGGGAAATCCACCAACATAGGATGAGCCTGACAAAGCCCAGGCTTGCTCTGTCAGCAGAAAACAATGATTTTCTGCGGAATGGTTAACCTGACCAAGGCATTTAAATGTCAACACACTCAGTGACATGGAGCAATTTTGAGTCATCTCTACGGAGGCTATCAAGTGGAGGACTGCCACGAACTACTTGATTGTCTTTTAAAACTGTGGAAGAGGAGAAGCTTGTTTCCGCCCGGTTTCGAACCGGGGACCTTTCGCGTGTTAGGCGAACGTGATGACCACTACACTACGGAAACCTTACTGCCATGGCCCTCCTGCGTTTGACGCGGGGAAATCCACCAGCATAGGCTGAGCCTGACAAAGCACAGGCTTGCTCTGTCAGCAGAAAACAATGATTTTCTGCAGAATCATCAACCTGACCAAGACATTTATTTGGCAAATGTGTTGACATTTACGAGCCTTGACATTTGCACAACCACGCTGACTGACATGGACCAATTTTGAGTGATCTCCATGAAGCCTGTCATGTGGAGGATTCTCACTGACTGCTTGATTGTCTTCTAAAACCGTGGAGGAGCCTTGTTTCCGCCCGGTTTCGAACCGGGGACCTTTCGCGTGTGAGGCGAACGTGATAACCACTACACTACGGAAACTGCCCTCTGAGCCACAACATGCACCGGATGCGGGGAAATCCACCAGCGCACGCCAAGGCTGATAAATCATCACTGAGCTGTACTAGCAGAAAACAAAAATACTCTCCCCGTCGGGGAATCGAACCCCGGTCTTCCGCGTGACAGGCGGAGATACTGTCCACTATACTAACGAGGACTGACGCCACCCGCGTTATGTGCAGGTCAGACTGGAATTATTACGCAATCACTGTGGAAACTAATGGCTGGATTAAGCGGTCTCACCAGTTGGGCTGGTCCGTCTTCCCACATCATCCACGTCCATGGACTGCTGCTGGAGGTTTGAAATTTACTACTTTGTGGCCTGTACTATGAAGGGCAAGTACAGGTCACTGTACAAGTACAAGTCATTGGGCGCTTTGGCTCTGTACTCAACTAACCTGGATTTGGTCATGGACTGCTGACTAAAGGATTTAATGGTAAAACTCCCTCAGATCTTAGAGCTTTGGCATCTGCAAATACACACTGGCTGTGGCAGACCTCAACACATTTGGAGTCGTCTTCCTCCAGCCTTCCAATGGTGCTAATTGTAAACCAGCACGCCAAGATGACACCAAGCTTGCTGTGCGCAGCACGGGCCTGGCTTCAAGGACCTGGCTTCACCTCGTTTAGAAAAACCACAGAAGGAGAAGCTTGTTTCCGCCCACTTTCAAACTGGGAACTTTTCGTGTGTCAGGCGAACGTGATGACCACTATACTTGGGAAACTGTGCTGCCATGGCTCTCCTGCGTTTGATGCAGGGAAATCCACCAGCATAGGCTGAGCCTGACAAAGCCCAGGCTTGCTCTGTCAGCAGAAAACAATGATTTTCCGCGGAATGGTTAACCTGACCAAGGCATTTAAATGTCAACACACTCACTGACATGGAGCAATTCTGAGTCATCTCTACGGAGGCTATCAAGTGGAGGACTGCCACTAACTACTTGATTGTCTTTTAAAACTGTGGAAGAGGAGCATTGTTTCCGCCCGGTTTCGAACCGGGGACCTTTCGCGTGTTAGGCGAACGTGATGACCACTACACTACGGAAACTGTGCTGCCGTAACCCTCCTGCGTTTGACGTGGGGAAATCCACCAGCATAGGCTGAGCCTGACAAAGCCCAGGCTTGCTCTGTCAGCAGAAAACAATGATTTTCTGCGGAATCATCAACCTGACCAAGACATTTATTTGGCAAATGTGTTGACATTTACGAGCCTTGACATTTGCACAACCACGCTGACTGACATGGACCATTTTGAGTGATCTCCATGAAGCCTGTCATGTGGAGGATTCTCACTGACTGCTTGATTGTCTTCTAAAACCGGGGAGGAGCCTTGTTTCCGCCCGGTTTCGAACCGGGGACCTTTCGCGTGTGAGGCGAACGTGATAACCACTACACTACGGAAACTGCCCTCTGAGCCACAACATGCACCGGATGCGGGGAAATCCACCAGCGCACGCCAAGGCTGATAAATCATCACTGAGCTGTACTAGCAGAAAACAAAGATACTCTCCCCGTCGGGGAATCGAACCCCGGTCTTCCGCGTGACAGGCGGAGATACTGTCCACTATACTAACGAGGACTGACGCCACCCGCGTTATGTGCAGGTCAGACTGGAATTATTACGCAATCACTGTGGAAACTAATGGCTGGATTAAGCGGTCTCACCAGTTGGGCTGGTCAGTCCTCCCACATCATCCACGTCCATGGACTGCTGCTGGAGGTTTGAAATTTACTACTTTGTGGCCTGTACTATGAAGGGCAAGTACAGGTCACTGTACAAGTACAAGTCATTGGGCGCTTTGGCTCTGTACTCAACTAACCTGGATTTGGTCATGGACTGCTGACTAAAGGATTTAATGGTAAAACTCCCTCAGATCTTAGAGCTTTGGCATCTGCAAATACACACTGGCTGTGGCAGACCTCAACACATTTGGAGTCGTCTTCCTCCAGCCTTCCAATAGTGCTAATTGTAAACCAGCACGCCAAGATGACACCAAGCTTGCTGTGCGCAGCACGGGCCTGGCTTCAAGGACCTGGCTTCACCTCGTTTAGAAAAACCACAGAAGGAGAAGCTTGTTTCCGCCCACTTTCAAACTGGGAACTTTTCGTGTGTCAGGTGAACGTGATGACCACTATACTTGGGAAACTGTGCTGCCATGGCTCTCCTGCGTTTGATGCGGGGAAATCCACCAACATAGGATGAGCCTGACAAAGCCCAGGCTTGCTCTGTCAGCAGAAAACAATGATTTTCTGCGGAATGGTTAACCTGACCAAGGCATTTAAATGTCAACACACTCACTGACATGGAGCAATTTTGAGTCATCTCTACAGAGGCTATCAAGTGGAGGACTGCCACTAACTACTTGATTGTCTTTTAAAACTGTGGAAGAGGAGCCTTGTTTCCGCCCGGTTTCGAACCGGGGACCTTTCGCGTGTGAGGCGAACGTGATAACCACTACACTACGGAAACTGCCCTCTGAGCCACATCATGCACCGGATGCGTGGAAATCCACCAGCGCACGCCAAGGCTGATAAATCAGCACTGAGCTGTACTAGCAGAAAACAAAGATACTCTCCCCGTCGGGGAATCGAACCCCGGTCTTCCGCGTGACAGGCGGAGATACTGTCCACTATACTAACGAGGACTGACGCCATCCACGTTATGTGCAGGTCAGACTGGAGTTATTACGCAATCACTGTGGAAACTAATGGCTGGATTAAGCGGTCTCACCAGTTGGGCTGGTCAGTCCTCCCACATCATCCACGTCCATGGACTGCTGCTGGGGGTTTGAAATTTTCGCAATCACTGGCCTGGCTTCAAGGACCTGGCTTCACCTCGTTTAGAAAAACCACAGAAGGAGAAGCTTGTTTCCGCCCACTTTCAAACTGGGAACTTTTCGTGTGTCAGGCGAACATGATGACCACTATACTTGGGAAACTGTGCTGCCATGGCTCTCCTGCGTTTGACGCGGGGAAATCCACCAGCATAGGCTGAGCCTGACAAAGCCCAGGCTTGCTCTGTCAGCAGAAAACAATGATTTTCTGCGGAATCATCAACCTGACCAAGACATTTATTTGGCAAATGTGTTGACATTACGAGCCTTTTGAGTGATCTCCATGAAGCCTGTCATGTGGAGGATTCTCACTGAATGCTTGATTGTCTTCTAAAACCGTAGAGAAGCCTTGTTTCCGCCCGGTTTCGAACCGGGGACCTTTCGCGTGTGAGGCAAACGTGATAACCACTACACTACGGAAACTGCCTTCGGTGCTACAACATGCACCGGATGCGGGGAAATCCACCAGCGCACGCCAAGGCTGATAAATCATCACTGAGCTGTACTAGCAAAAAAGCAAAGATACTCTCCCCGTCGGGGAATCGAACCCCGGTCTTCCGCGTGACAGGCGGAGATACTGTCCACTATACTAACGAGGACTGTCGCAATTAGAATAATGTGCAGGTCAGACTGGACATATTGCGCAATCTTTGTGCAAACCTGTCGGGTATCCCTGTTGTGATAAGCAGTCTCACCAGTTGGCCTGGTCCGACACAACTTCTTTTAGCAGTGAAAAAACATAATAAAGACAGAGCTAGAGGAAGAGGGGGAAAGATCGATGGCACTATGTGTGGTGATCAGAGTGATGGAGCAGGCTGCATGACCAACTGTGTGTCTGTGCATCCATCATCTCCTTCACATCTGCCTCTGCAGAAAACTATGCTCAGTTTAGGCCTGCAGCTTCTTCCACCCCTTCCACCCCATTATAATTTATGTGTTTGCAGCTTTATCGTCGCTCTAACACTCAGGCAGCAGTGGACTGTTACTGGTTTGTTAAAAATTCTGAAAAATGCAAATGTTTTGAGCTGTGATGCATGTGTAGGAGTCATAACTCAGACACCAGAGAGGAGTCGAAGAGTGAGTTCAGGAGTGCAGCTTGTGAATCAACTTTTACAGCAAATGAAGTAGGCAGGAGAATACTTCACTGACTCCCATCTGAGTTTATTCAGCAGGATAATGTTGAAAAGTTATTGAATTTAAGAGACTGTCCTCCCGTAAATAATAAGACATTATGTCCAGCAGATTATTATGACCTATACTCATTCCACAAAGGGCCGCTGAAAAAACTATCAGCTGCACCCAAACCTTTCTGGATGATACTGCCAACTCTCAACTTTCCAGAGCAAAAACAAGTCCATCCCGGACACCACCTGTTTAGCCTGCTGCCCTCTGGCAGGCAACACTAACAGACAGCCTATTTCCATGGGCCATCAGGACATTTAACACTCACACAAGTCACTAACACA